TGATTGTTTCGATTTTCTTTTATAACAGAGGAAAAACAAGAATGCGGTTCTTCCGATGAGCACTCGTAACGCTAAATGAATTACAAGTGTATTGCCGGTCTTTTAAAAAGGAATATGCATTTTTCTTGAAGCTTACAATCTATAAATTCTTAAATACTACTGCTGGAAGTTGATTCCAAAGCATGGTTGTGAGTAGAAGAAAGTGCCTTGAAAAACGCACGGTGTAGGGCTGCGCTTATCCAGTTGGTTAAGACGGAACTTTAGTTTGTGACGGTTTGTACGATGGTGAAAATCAGCAGCGGATACCTGCTGCACAATACCAATTTGTTTCCAATTTCATTTAGGCGCGGTTTTCTGATAATTTCAACAAAACTTGATTATCTTTTTATAAATTCTATTCAATTAGACTATACAAGGATGACAATAGATAATAACGGCTCTAGAACCTTAATTACTTGTTTTAACTAAGATTTCTCTAGCCAGCTTGAGGTTATCATTGCATTTTTATCTCATTAAAAAATACCATCGTGGTTAATTCCTAGTGACTTCGCCACTATGGCACAACTTAAAAAAATGTTATTCCGCCGTGCGGGCGTGTTTACCATTCCATTTGAGGGGAAGGGGGGGAGGGAATGGGAGAAGTGAAATTTGGTAATGCAGTCCACATTACCATTCCCACTGCTAGCAGTATAAGAGTTCAACAACTCCCAGTGGTACCCCCTGATACAACCATTATACTGAATTCCAAGTGTATTCATCACGACGGACTAACTGACCTGCCTTTTCATCTCACCTATTATCCCACACTATACCATTAGCGCAGGCAAGATTACGATTCCATTATCATCCATTAAAAAACCATTTAACCTAATAAATAACCTCTAAATTATAGTTCGTTATGTATTTATGATTATCAATATAATTTCACATGTGTTAAATATGTATATGTGAATTATTAATGCTACTTTGCTAGCTGGTTAGCATGTCGCAACTTCATAGTTGTTGCTACAGTTTGCTATATTACATATTCACGCAATAGATACCAATGTTTATCAGTTCACACTAAATTAAAACGATCCCTCTCCCGAAAAAGACCCCTGGAAACGATCGTGTTTAATTCAAGTGGATTCATCACGATGGGCTAACTGGCCTTCTTCATCCTCACCTATCATCTTTCACTGGTGCAACGACAGTGTATACCGAGAGCGCGAGCGGGGTGAACATTCCATTATCACCCATTGAAAAAAATGGCATTAGCATTAGCAATATAGAGTATATTGCTAGTAACCCATGCCTAAATTAGACGGACCCTGACTTACTAGCCTGATGGAAAGTTTACTTTAGTATCATTAATGGGAATGTTATTTTAATTCAGTTAATTAGTTTAATTAACTGAATTAATTTAAATTAACTTAATTTAATTCATATTTCCAGAGGGAGATTTTGTACAAAAGTTGATTGCTTAGGTACCTCTGTCCCATTCGTGTTTCAACCGTGAAGCAGTTGTGTTTGCATGGCTGTATTTCGGTTTGAAGGGTGGGATATGCCGTGAATTTACAGGGTACAGAGGAATAACATCTGTGCCCTCAGGAATAGCAACGCATGGGGGGTATCATGGGCGAAACAGTATACTCTGTTATGTCCACGGTACTGCTCATGTCTATAGGTGAGGGTTACCGCTTTCCATCAGGTGGGCCGTCAGCTTGTTTGCCATTCTAAGTTGTATAAAAAAAACTGATATTTAATATATCCGTTATAGATATTGTAACTACACTATGTAAATATTGTCATATATTACCTACTCCTAGTCTGATTATGTAGCCGCTTTTTTTTTATGGGTGAAAATGGTATGGTAACTCCGCCTGCGCTAACGGGATACGCTGGCGGAGCACCAGTGAAGGGTGATAAATTAACCATGATAGTTTCCAGGGAGAACCGCGAGGAGGTCGACCTGGTTGGGTATAATGCTAGCAATGGGATTCTCAGTCTCCATTACTAACAATCCCTTTCCCCCCAGTCGGATTATAGTAGGCGCTTAACATCAGTCGTACCATATATTTGATTTCTACCGTAATGCTATAAAAAAAGTATGATACTGGTTACCGGCAGGTATAAATGATCGGACATTCAAATGATCTTGGATCATTCGTGATGACACGTGACGTAGGTTACGTTTTATGGGCGTGTAAGTATGACTTGTTTGGGGGGCTTATTCATAACTACATAAAGGTTACAAATGATCAATCTCGTGACGTCATACTTAGCGCATATCTTAAAATAAACTATTGTTAAGATTGTGACCTCACGCTACTTTTATATTAAAGTCAAAATGTCAGTTATATTACCAATGTGAGTAAACTCTAGTGATATAGTCCAAGAGCTAACATTCAGCAAACGTATTTACTTCACACAATAAGAAATATAAATATTAAATTCTTGCCAAGAAAAACATCTTCGCAATCCCCCGTCAAAATGTATTGTTTTCCATTATTTATCATTTGCATTTTATATAAGACATTATTTGCATTGAAAGGGACTAGATGAAGAGTCTAAGTCTTAATTAATGTCAATTTGTTTTAATTCATGATTAATTGAAATGGTAACCCCGCCTACACAATCTATATACGCTGGCGAGATACCAATGAGAGATAAAAGCAAATAGCTCTTCGTGGCGAAACGAACAAGAATTAAGCACAATGGTTTCAAGGGGGAACCGCGTGGAGGTGGACCTGACATGGTATACAGCTAATAATGGGACCACTGGTAGTAACAATCCCTTCACCCCGACGTCTATTTGTTAGGTAGAATGCGGTACAAAAAGTATATAATATATTATTTATCTATGGTCATGCTCAAAGATGCCAAAACAGTAAAATCAGGAGAGAAAGGGATTGTTATCAATGGAGTTTGACATTCCCATTGCTAGCAATATGCCCTATTAGGTTGACCTCCACGTGGTTCTCCCTGGAAACTATCGTGAACAATTCTTGTTGAATTCGTCACGATGGGCTAACTGACCTACTTTATCCTCACTTATCATCCTTCATTGGTGCCCCGCCGGTGTATACCGATAGTGCGGGTGGGGTACCATTCCATTATCACACATTAAAAAAAAAACAGTAAAATAAAAAAAAAAGAAAATATTGTAGAATTATCTAGCTGCAGTTGTTCCTACAAACTACATACAATGGCGGGACACCAGTGAAGGATGATAGGTGAGGATGAAAGCAGGTCAGTTAGCTAATAATATAAAATTCATCTAGGAGTAACGATAATGGTTTCAGGGAGGACTACGTGGAGGTCAACATGGTATATTGCTAGTAATGGGTTTGCTAGTCCCCGTAACTATTAATCTTTTCTCTTTTAGTTAATAATTACATTATAGAATAATGTATTATTATCAGAACATAAATATATGTATATTTATTTATACTATATTGTACACACTAATAATACATAAAGAAATATGACAATGAATAGCAAATATATAAAGACGAGTTTAACTCTATAAGAGTTCTGTTCCAACATGTACATAGTGGAAAGGAGCATCAATAAATAATCAATGTATATACAACGTATTGCATTATATAAATATACAACGTATACGAAAAATGTGTTTTATTGAGATTAATTGTATCAAAAAAAATGACTGCTCCAGGACCATAACGTGACGTTACGTAGACGCTTGAAATGATTCATGTTATCGTAACGGGATATTGAGGTCGATTTTCTCACTTAACGATAAACTAGTGTTTAATTATAATTAGTCGGCATCCATAATTAAATATTATATATTAATAAGCAAAAAAGAAGAGAATATTGGCCTAACTAGATATCATAAAGTAGATGGCGTTGCTAGCAAGTTTCTCTATCCACGACGAAACCTTCTTAATTCTTGAATTGGCTAACAGACTTGCTTTTATCCTCACCTATCATCCTTTACTGGTGCCCCGCCAGCGTATATAAAAAGTGCAGGCAGGGTTACTATTAGACCATTACCCAATAGAACCATTAAACCAATTAAAAGAAACCTGGCTTCATCCCTATTATTTGTCACTGGTAAGTACGTCACTGGCATACACCAATAGCACAATGTATTTAACATTTACTTTGCTTTGGTTAAAAATACTAGGTATTATTAAAATTACACGATAATATTTTAATAAAAAAAACTTACCTACCTTTGAACTCTACTGCTCCGTTTAGGTGTAATGTAAAACTGTGTACATATTGTTAGCTTTAATCTAATATTCCGTGTAGTTCCAACGTAAAATGGGCCACCCAGACGCACCAGTGAGGGATGATAGGTGAGAATGAAAAGGCGGGTCAGTTAGCCTATCGTGATGGTATACACCTGGGATTCAGCATGATAGTTTCCAGGGAGGACCATGTGGAGGTCGACCTGACAGGATATATTGCTAGCAATAGGACTGATAGTCCGCATTACTAACAATCCCCCTCCCGTTTCTTAGACTGCATATTATAGTTTTATCACATATTTTCATTTTGATAAATTGTTATGAAAAAAATAGTTTATCTGTTTCTAGTGTTAAGATTTCACTTCTTTATTATTTATGTTCGTTACATCCAAAATAGACTTAAATTTTGCTGTTTGATTTGATAATTAAGTACGTACATAAATACATTTTTGACGTTTTTAGATAAACCAGACAAAAATATCTAAAGGCACAAACCAGAACACATAGGCGTGGAAAAGTTTGTTTCCTAACAAGAAACGAACACGGAACCTCAATTCTTTATTAATTATAAAATATCTTAGGTTAGATATCCGAGATATCTTAACCTCTATTAGTGTTTCTTGATCTGAGATCAAATCCTGATCGGAAGTAGATACAAACGAGATGATACCGTACTACCTAATTAACGGTTCATAACGTACGTGCTAAGTACCTAGTGTCATAATGTGAAAACTATACTTGTTTAATCCAAACAATAATATTTTCAAACTATTATACCATGACATCATCGTGTTACGTGTCACCTCGGACGAGTCGCCGCGGACCGCGGAGGCCGCGAGATGCAGTGTACCACGACGCCGAAGTTCGAGTTCCCAGTTTAATAACAGCTCTCGGGCTGTACTCACGTATTGAAGTGTTGTAACTGTGAAAATTAAACATCTTGAACCATGACTAACTTCTTGGGTGAGTATTTTTTAATGTATATCTCGCTTATTTTCTATAATTATAGCGCAACCAAAAAATTTAATATTCATGTAGGTAGTTAAGTAAAATGTCACTTTAGAAAAAGTTTTTTTATAAATTGTCAAGTCGTAACTTTTAGAGTTACCTCCTCAATATTTTGATTTGTCTTAAATTCTACAATTGTACATATCTTAAACATTTTGACAAGCCGGTATCTGCCATAGATATTATAATTGTTGTGCTTAACAACCGGTGTTTTACTGGCACAAGGCCAAAAACGGGTGCGGTGGCGCGTCGCAGAAAATTCGTTAGAATCAATACGTTTCGTTTTCTACGTTTTGTGTAGTTGTGTATTATACATAAAGATCATCGCATTCCTAGTAAACTATTTCTATATTACATGAAAATAACAAGTCGAAGCAATCTAGACAATTTACGTTCTATTAAAAACTAGGAGACATCTTAGAATAAGACTGAATGACATCATCTGTGCAGTCATGATCTTAAATAAGTATCGTCTGTCTTTATAAGTATACCTTATATTGTATCGATAAATTTGACCTCGTCAAGGTAATGTTATTTGTATACGCGTAGGTAGATAATTAATTATATTATCACGAATACTTACGGAATGTTTGTGTGGACGACGCAGGAATGCATACATAATTAGCAAGTGTAAAATGTGCACAGAGCAAGCATACTTACTATGTGCACATTTTATAGGTAACTGTCATTATAATCTGTCCCCAATACTTAAATAGTTAAACCTAAATTGAAGGTCGACTTTATACAGTCTACCTAGGTAGGTAAATAGATCTTTTCGACAGAAGAACAACAACTTTTAGAATATTTATTGAACTGTCTGTTGCTTTTGTCTATCATCAAAACCATTAAAATATGTGTAAGCATACGAAAATTCGTACTTCTTTTAGTGTTATTAATAGTTTTAAGACTGAATGCTTTGAGTCATAAAATTTACTCCGCCACTGATACACCTATCTTCTTATCTTACTAATACTAATAATTAAGAACAAAATTGTAAGAAGGTGATGTCTGTACGTGAAAGATATTTAAGAACTATTGATGTAAGAGGTCTTAATAAGACTAACAGATGCCAAAACAATAGTTTTTAGTAATTATACCTGTCTGTCGGTATATATGTTTGTTTCAACATCATATACAATCTACTATACCAAATTGGATCCAGTTTTCACAGTGTGTTCCGGAAAATGTTAACACTTCAAACTTGCATGTTTCGTCTTGATGTAACATCTAGAAGTTGCCCATTTCATTGATTTTCCTATTTCTGATATCTACGCGTAGGAAGTAATAGGCTAACACACAAGTAAAATACCTAAAATCTACGTTCTCTTACAAAAGTCGAAAGTCCGCGTGTCAAGTCTGTTAAGTATCATATCTTTTTTGTTTACTCTTTTCGAAATAAAATATAATTATCTGTACTGTAATACCTACTATTATTTAAAACTAAGATAATAATTTTATAATGCAATTTTTTTTTGATGGATGATATAGGAATGGTAACCCCACCCGCGCTATCGGTATACACCGGCGGGGCACCAGTGAAGGATAGAAGGAAGGTGAAGATGAATTAGGTCAGTTAGCCCATCGTGACGAATTCAACAAGAATTGTTCACGATGGTTTCCAGGGAAAACCACGTGGAGGTCGACCTAATAAGGCATATTGCTAGCAATGGGGCTGTCAAACTCCATTGCTAACAATCCCTTTCCTCCCTATAGTGCAATATTAAATATTTAAGTAAAATGGTTAATTTTAAAATAAAAAACATCGCATTATGCGGACAGATCTTAGAGTTCATAACGATAAGGTCGAATGGTAAATGTATTTAATTGGTCTTACGACCGCATTGCTGCCTACATAACCGCTAAAACAGAATAAGTCGCTAATAACATTAATACTGAACTGCTTTTTATACTAATGAAAATGGTAAGCAATTATGCAAATTTACCTATAAGAATTATAATTACGTTATCGAAATATATGTGCATTAATAAAATAATAATAATGTATTCATTCCTTACAAACTATTATCGAATACACCTTGGACGGTTATGGCTGCCTTAGAACTTGCCACTCTTTAGAAGTGAATTTTTTATACAAAGGGAGCCAGTTAATAAAACTCTAAAAATATCTTGGCGTCATTTGGCGCCTTAATTCACTATTTAAACCCTAACAAATACGCTGTTTAACAACAAATACTTATAGGTGTGAAAAAGATAAGAACCATGCAGACGATTCTATAATTTTTTTTTCAAAAATAGTAGTTTAAACTATCCAAAATTATTCTAAATATGTATCGTAAATTGTTTGAATTGAAAAGATTAGGTGAAACAACGACCTCAAGTATGCTACATAGAGCTAGTAGACACAGACGGCTCAGGGCCATTTCCTGTGTTTATAATTGACGTCATAAATATATAATAAAGTTGGATGATGTTTTCTTTAAAACCCACTATTTTTATTTTGGCTTTATGTTTATTTTCCAAATAAAATTAAGGTTAAATAACCTTTTTTTTTATATTGCATAGCTTCCATCATATATAAAGACTTTTTTTTTATTTAGATTCATATTAGATAAATATTCAAGAAATAGATGGATATTTAGTAATACTTGTTATTTGACTTTGAGGAATGGGGGACATTTTAATACCTATACAAGGAGATAATAGCAGCCAGAACAGGTTCCTAAGTACGAATGTTTTGAAGTTTTAATCTTCGTTTGTTTTTATTTGGAACTTGATCGTTACCTAATCCATTATTGATTATTGATAGATGTTCGTGTTTATAAATTTTAAACACATACTCGTATCTACCTACAATCCTTAGGCACCATCTTTAAATCTATACAGAAGTATGACAAAATTAAAACTAGTTGTCTATTTTGAAAAACAAAAACGATGGTTGTAGACATTTTAATATCAGAACAGTTTTTAAATAAGATCAACCAGAAATATTGAAAATAGTTTAATTATTCTTAAAAATTGACATACGTAACGTAATACTAAGCTATATTATAGTTTATGCTTAATGGTTCTACAGCTGGGTCAAGGTCATGGCGAAATAAACTTATCACAACAATGATCGATGAGCATCTGACACATTAGGTATGTTCGTTGAATATACAATAACAAGTCAGTAAACACAGAAACCGCTGTATTGTTTAGATAAAAATAAATACAGGACGCTATTTTTATCCTTAATGTATAAAAATAAGAACTAGAAATAAATTATTTATGCTTATACTTAATCATACTAAGGAAAAAGTATGAGAACCGTTTTCACAGTAATTATTTTAAAACTTAATTTTGTATTCTCTGGAAAATCTGTGTTTTTTATCTACGGGTTTTTTGTGTTTACTTATCTATGTTACGCGATATCTTCAGTATTTACAAACATTTTTTTTTCTGTTAAAATCCACATTCATGTTATAGACCAATACCTACTAGTCTGTGCAGTATGAAATTAAACATCTTCCAATTATAAGCTACTAGTCAATAATCAGTGTAAGAAACATTGAAATAAACTGTATAATTGAGGAATTTATACCTCCATATTAACTACTTATTATTTTACATTCAAAACAATGCTTTTTATACACATAGACCTAAATGTTACTTTAATAACCTTGATAATTTTAATAATTATAATAAGGCCCAGAAACGATGATATAATACATTACCTTCTCAGTTAACTAGTTAAAATTTAGTTCCTTTATTTAATAAAACCTTGTTAATAGCCTTTTTTAGTTCCTTTAGTTATCTACAAAGTTATAAAAAATTATTAGGTATTCAACTCCCAGACTTAGTACTCCCTTAAGTACCGCTACTAGCGGCTGGAGGTCGCCAACAGCATTGATTTAATAGAATGACATCATCCGACCTGACCATTCGTGTCGCCTCGTTAACTAACGAAACGATTTTATAGCATTCATCGTCTCTGGAAATCTACAAAATGTTGAAATCAGTCCTTTGTATGCAGCAATGGATATAGGTAGCCTATTAGTATAGCACTGACGAGAATATGTTGTGGGTGCGGAGCTACCTACTTAGCGCATACCAACGCTGCTATCCTATATTTAGACTTGCTGTTAAGAGTCTTGCTCCAAATGGAAGGCGACGACCGAACTAAATAAGTACCGTCGAAAGTCCAATCTAACGTCCATAGAATATAAAATCTCTAGCATATTTTGAATTATTCATCATACAGACCAGTGGTGGCAAACAAAATCCTATCATTTATTAACTTGTTAACACTTCTTTATGGATAATAATGTATGATAACAACCTGCGCTAACGGCATATACTAATGGGGTACTAGTGAGCGATGATGGGAGAAGATGAAAAGGTAGATTGGTGAGCCCATCATGATAATTTTATTTGGAATTAAGCAGTATGGTTTCCAGGGGGACCACGAGGAGTTAGTCTAATAGGGTATTTTTTTTTATGGGTGAAAATGGTATGGTAACCCCGCCTACGCTAATGGGATACGCTGGCGGAGCACCAGCGAATGGTGATAGATGAGAATGAAAACAGGCCAGTTAGCCCATCATGATGATCATGATGAGGTCGACCTGGTTGGGTATATTGCTAGCAATAGGAAATCTAATAGGGTATATGACTAGCAATGAAGGTTGCAAATCCCTATTACTAACAATACCTCCGCCCTTTTGTAAATACTTCCTACTACCTGATTGCTCATACAATTAATTCGGATTAATCAAATACTTATCTGATGACATCACGCGTCTTGCGTGTCTTCAAATTAAATCTGTCTGTTAATTAATTCACATCGGTTAAGTAGCAGGAAAAGAAGGCGTATCAATCAGACATACAGACTATCAAACTGAGTTTCAGATATTTATAAGCAATGGTCATATAAGTAGGTAAGAATACTCTCATTTATTGTTAGGTATCGCATTCTTTACATTGTATGTAAAAATAGTGTGTGTTGAAATGAAAAGTGGAGCTGGAAAGATATTCTGGCACATTTCATACCTATAGGTAATTTTTACATAATACAAGTGAAGCATAACAGATCGACAATAATTCTGAATATTTTTCTATTGCATATATGTATAATGCAGTAGTGATTCATAAATGTAAAAATAAATGTTACGTGATAGATCGAGGATTTTATTATACCTAATCAATGTGGTTATTAAGTAAAGTGATATGTAGGCGACAATATTATATGCATATAAATAATTTAATTAAAATCAATTTGAATCTTGAGTAACAACACGTATATCACGATCTATAATGTAATTAATAAAATTGTACAAAATATCCATACAATAGTGAAGATGCAGATTACTATAATATACAAGATCTGTATGAGAAAGAAAGAAAAACATTCACCGACCATAATAATATAGAATAAAATACTATACGAAAAAAAGTAAATTTTATAACACTTAAGTATATTATTAAATTAACTTTTTCTTACATATAGATTTCAGAAATAGGAAATCCAATCGAATGCATCACTTCTGGATGGCGTATCAATATAAAACACACCGGCTTTTAAGTTAGATCTTCAGGAACACGAATGTTAAAACTTCATCAATCTGATGCAATAGTTAATGTGTGATGCTGGAAAAAAATTCTAAAAATTAATATTTTAGCTTATGTTATCTAATATCGTTTGCCTCGTATGTTATAAAATAAACATCTCCCATATAAAGAGATTGACTAGTTACAATTTTATTATATTAGTTAAGTATTGATACTGAACTAAAATAAAAACAATTTCCCAGCAATTTACAAACATACAGACAGACAAAATTTCTAAAAAATATTATTTTGGCTTTTATTGCCTATCTAATATTTCACACATACAGACATCGTCTAGTTACAATTTTATTATATCAATAAAATAAGATTAAAATGTATCAAAACAATGTAAAATAAACTCATCCTCCTAACAATTTCATAAAATTAATGTTTAATCAATTATACAATGAACTAATTTTTATTTTTCAGATGTAGCCACGGAGGACAACCTCCAATATCAATTCTTTCCTGTATCAAGCGGATCCGTGACATTCAAAGTACGCACACCAAATGATGCACATCTGGCACTTACCTTGGGCCCTCAGGAGTCCGACCCCATGTATGAGGTTCGTAGTATTTAAATAATAATTAAAGATTTTACTACTCAAAAAAATTCTCTCTTATTTTCATGCATAACATGAATTATTGTAAAAATAATTATCAAAATTAGTTCATATTTGGCAAAGATTAACAAGTAACGAAACACAAAAAAAAAAAAATACAAGCGCTTTTGATCCATGACATTACGAAAAAAACCTTCTTCCTTTTTACTCGTAAAGTCGTTTTAAAAATTTAATGTATAAATAATATTTCTTTCTTAGGTTTTTATTGGCGGTTGGGGAAACACAAAGAGTGTAATCAGAAGGAACAGAACGAAGCCCGATAAAGTTGAAGTCGACACTCCTGGAATTTTGAACGGTGGAGAATTCCGTGGTTTCTGGGTGCGTTGGGATGGTGGTGTAGTGTCAGCTGGCCGAGAAGGAGAAGTCATTCCATTTATTTCTTGGACAGACCCTGAACCATTCCCTGTTGGCTTTGTTGGAGTTTGCACAGGATGGGGTGCTACTGGTACATGGAAAATCGAAGGTAAGTCTATAAACATTAGCTACTCATTGCAAAATGTACCCAATGTAAAAATTCTTTTTTATCCAAAATTATCCTTGTGGTGCAGAGGGGGCTGAGTTCGATACTCCAGACCAGCTTGAATACAAATTTGGGCCTGTTGCTACTGGATTATTGGAACTTCAGTATCGTGGTCCACACAACTGTCATGTGTGTTTGACCAGCACTGCCGCAGAAGTCGATCCTATGTACGAAATAATCCTCGGTGGCTGGGAAAATAGCCAGTCCGTTATTAGATACAACAGACAGAAGCCAGATAAGGTAGGGTGTTAATCGGTGTTCGCTAATTGTCGCTATTATTGTTCAACTATTCGTTGAGACGAGAAATACATAAATGGAATGTTCGTAGGTAACCCTCCCGACACCTGGCCTTATGAATCCCAACGAATTTAGGAAATTCCTAATTGAATGGAAATGTGGTCGCCTTCTTGTACGCGACGGTTCTAATGGCGCGGTACTTATGGACTGGGTGGACCCAGCACCTTTCCCCATAACACACTTTGGCGTGCGTACTGGATACGGTGCCCGCGGACAATGGCGTATAGCACATTTCCTTGGTTCCAGCGCGCAAAATCGTTGAGTTTCCCATTCAATATTATGTTTTGTGAATGAGACGCTTTTGGTGTTAATTGCTGAATTCTAATAATGTGCATTCCATTACAGTTCGTAGTATTTACCTATACTGTTCTAGATCGAATTAGGTATACTTACATAATCGTTGTTAATTAAATTATATTCTTGCAATTTTCAAATACTTGCACTTTAACTAGTGAACTAACCAATTATACAATGTTATAAAAGGAGTACGTAGTTCTTAATGTTTGTGCAACACCAATTACGTACGATCTTGATCTTGGTTTTGATCTCGATCTCTGCCTCAGGATGACGATGTGATATTTTGTGGTATGTTGGGTACATTTTGTGACAATTCTAATCTCCACTTCTTGTAACATGCTTGTTTCTTATAACTTATTTTTTTATTTGGTAATACTGTCACGCTTTTGATGCTCTCAATGCTCTCATGGTGTTACATTGCAGTGATTTTAGATAATTAATTACAAAATTCTAATTAACAATAGGTAATGTATTACCAATATTTGTGTAACAATGTATCACCAATCTTTTTACATCCTCAAGATAGATATCTTGAAGAGAGAGTAAAAAGGAAATTAGGGGAATAAATCACTTTATACCAGCACTAGATTAGGAACGGTCGTTAAAAATCGCACAGTAAGGAGTTAAAAATCACGTTATACGCAAATCATAATAGGATTTGCTTGGAACCTACCGTTGGAAATGTATCTATCAGCCTGTGAATATTATTCTCTTATGCAAAACAAATCCTATTATGATTCGTAAAAAGTAGACTTTTAGTTAGTATAGTAATAAAAAGCCAATATGCTTCTCATATTATATAAAGTGAAGCCCATGCCCAAACAAAGCTCAATGTTTACGAAGAATCCTAAAATCTAAATCTTAATACCTAAGGCTTTTTGTCTTTACTGTCTTTTTTATTATGAATTTTTTTGCTGTTGGTTTTTTTTTTTTTAATAAAAAATAAAATAATTAATCTTAATACGCAATGCATGACAATTTCTGTGTTAAAAATAATAGCATCCTACACAACTACTTGATAAGAATTTAACGCTTGCTTACTTATATTTTTTTATTACATATTGTATATAATAATTTATATGCACATCCTGATAATTTAAACTTATTATATATTATTATAACACATTTATCAATATTAACGATTTTATAAACTTCATGATAAATAGTACAAATAATGATTTGCAATATAAAATTACAGCACAACCATCAGCGCCGCAAGCTGCAGCTCTCTACAGCACTCCACCTGGATATCCAGGCGGTCCTGCGCCAGGCGGTGCGGGTGTGTGGGCTGAAGCATCCGGAGGCCAAGTGCCACCTGAAGCCGTTCTGGGCGGCCAGGATTCCAATGGGGAACCTCTTTACGTCGCTAGAGCACAACACGAAGGCGCTATTTTGCCAGGAAAACTGGTAGCCTCACACGGTTGTGCATACGTGCCATGGGGTGGACAAGAACATGGAAAACCTACTTACCAGGTTGGTTTACTCACATCCTACGTACTACGACGTAACTATTATTTATATATTGTGTGGACTGTTGAGGATAGCAAGCATACGGCCTGCCTGACGGTAACTGACTACCGCACCCCCCGAACGCTTGCAATTTTGCAAAGGCTTCTAGAGACACGTACCCAGTAATTTCAAACTTAAACACAATATATATATATATATATATATACATATACTTGTTGAAATTGTATAATCTTATGCAACATCGATAACATATACTCTGTTATATCCATGGCACTTATGTCTAGGTCACCATTTTCCATCAGGTGGGCCGTCAGTCAGGTTGTTTGCCATTCTAAGTTGCATAAAAAAAAAAAACATATTAGTTTCACTTATTTAATTTTGCAGGTTTTAGTCGGTGGCCCCAATAACTGGGTGCCCACAAACGGCTCCAATGTACCACCTGGTGCATTCCCAGGCGGACAAACCGAAGACGGCGAGACTCTTTTCATAGGGCGTGTACGTCACGAAGGCAGCGTCACTACAGGCAAAGTACAACAGTCCCACGGAGTCTGTTACATCTCGTTCGGAGGACAAGAACTTGGCTTCCCTGATTATGAAATTCTTATGGCTTAAGCACAATCGACATGACATAATGATGATTATTATTGTAACGTTTTGATATAAGTCTTCGCTAAGTGATTGTTATGAACGAAGGCTGCTTATATGAGATGTTCACGTAAATTGCAATATGCTTAATAAAATATTGCGATATATTAGGATTAACAAACAGAACAAATATAAGGACATCACGCTGTGCCTATGATAGCTTAGTAGGTACCACGCGAGTAATGCGCACCGTACAATTATTTTTATTGTTTCGTGTTCTATGTACAACTGTTAATTTACTTTTATTAAATTATTTTAATATTATACATGTCTACATTAATTATTAATCTTCCACACAAATTAACATAACCTATCACAAATTATTATTAAACAAGTGTTCACAATAGTCAGCAGCAATTTTTATCGCATTCATGGCAATCAAATTGAAATAAATTCATACCATTTGAAGACTATTTTCTTTGTAATTTTTTTGTGCAACTTAAAATGGGATACAAGCTGACGGCCTCCTAAGGAAAGTGGTAATCGTCGCTTATAAATATGAACAGCACCAAGGGTATCACTGAATGCATTATGACACCCATAAATATATACTTACCACTCATGTGTTGTCATTCCTGAGGACTAAGACGTTGAGCCAACATGCCCTGTAATTTCATTATCATATCACACCATTCAAACCGATTCAAATTCATATATTACATGGACAGTGGCTTAGCATAGAGGTTGTTGTATCAGCCGTTCACTCCTGCTGAACATAACCTCCCCCATATAGAAGGTTCTGCCCGTAGTTGCCACGCTTGGTAGGCGGGTTTCCTCAAAATATGTTTTTTTTTTTAGTTTAACACGTAATAATTTTTAATTCTTATTCTCTCCATTATAGAAATCAAATAACCACAAAGTCCTTATCTCCTTTCAGAAGAGTTTGATGTCGTCAAATAATTTCATTAATTTCTCTTCTGCTTCACATTCACCAAAGTTTTTTATAGCATTTCTGATTTGATATCTGTCTGGCATACCTTTATTCATATTCAAATACATTTACAAAATTTAAAAGATAATATAAATTATTGAAAATTACATTTCTTTTGTTTTTATAATTTTTTTGATACTTTAATTTCAAACAAGCTAACGATCCACCGGAAGAAAATGGTAATCGTCGCCTATAGATATGAACAGTATCCTGAAATTCACAGAATACACTGTGATGCCCATTCTGCTCCTTATTATTTGCCATTTTGAGGTTTTATGTCATACGTAAGGTACATAGATACCTTATGTACCTACCTTATATGATACTACCTTTCAAACAAAACTACAATCATGTAAGAAGATCATGTACAAAGACACGAATGAGACAGATACCCAATCAGTCGACTAAAAAAGTAAATTGTCAAATAACTTAGAATATTTATTGTTAAATAATGTTTATTTAATTACTGTGTATACATATAATATATTTTAATAACCCTTTGCCTTTCTCCGTGTGGTCCCGGCATAGAATAGGCCACCCCTTCCTTTCCCGTGGGTGTCGTAAGTATCGACCAAGGGAGAGCGAGAGATAGGTGGCAACGTCCCTTCTTAAAACATCTTTGAAGCTTGACTGCGGTTACCAATTCGCCTGCCAAGCATGGCAACTACTGCAAAATCCCTCAAAAGGAGGCTTACGTTCAGTAGTGGACAATTAAAAGCTGACGTGATACCTGTTTGTTCCAAATCACCCCGGATCCAGTATAAATGGGGATAAAGCACATTTTTCTATAATTAATCAGCTACTGTCTACTTTTTAAATTATCTTCTATTTTATCATCACTATCTCTATCATCATCATCATCATCACTACATAGTATAAAACAAAGTCGCTGTAGCTGTCTGTCCGTCCCTATGTATGCTTAAATCTTTATAATTACACAACGAATTGTTCAGCGCTTTTCTTTAATAGATAGAGTGATTCAAGAGGAAGGTTTATATATATAATACATGAATAATATTATAGAGAAACACTGATAAATTTAGAGGTTTCTAATGTGATGTCGTAAATAAACACATTTTTTATGCTTACATTGCAAATGCTGGCTGAACCCCACGAGATAAATCAAAATAATGTACTGCAGTATTGTACATCTTAAAAAGGTCAACAAAAAAGTCCGCGATGGTATATGTCTATCTCTTAAAGATAACCCACAATAACCATTTTACGAGAAAAAATGGCTTATTTACGAAGTGTTAAATACATTGTCCATTTAATATAGATCAATATGGCCCATTACAGCATGTAATTTAAACGAAATTTCTAAAGATATTACAGATTTAAAATGCAGGAAAAAAGCGGTGCGGCGGTATCGGCCTGGCCGGCGGCGCGTGCCTATATAATAGCACGTCGAATGCCCCACTTCGCCCTATAGCACTTTATAATGTTTGTATTGTCTAATGACAAAAAAGCTGTAAATGTTATTTATAATAACATTCTGTAGTTTTTTTTATGGGTGAAAATGGTATGGTAACCCCGCCTGCGCTAACGGGATACGCTGGCGGAGCACCAGATAATAGATGAGAATGAAAACAGGTCAGTTAGCCCATTATGATGAATTCATCAGGAATATACCATGATAGTTTCCAGGGAGAATCACGAGGAGGTCGACCTGATTGAGTATATTGCTAGTAATGGGATTCTCAGTCTCCATTACTAACAATCCTTTTCCCCCTAACATTCTGTAGTAGGTAGGTACATTTAGTATCAGCATTGCACCCGTGCGAAACCGGGGCGGGTCGCTAGTAATCATATAATTTAAACAACCAAAGATACTTAGAATGCGTAAAAGATGATAATTTGTCTAACATAATGAAAAAATTGAAATGTAAAATTCTATTTGATACATACAAACCGAAAACGGGGTGAATAGGTATTCACCCCGTTTTCCTTTACTTATTCTGTGGTTTTCGTAGGTACAACAACAACAAAAATGTATTCATAGTCTAATCTATGATTATAGGCATACATAATCTTTCTAATTTGTGATTATTTTTATTTTTTATTTTATTAATTATTATATACTAGATCTTTAAACATAGTCTCTTTAATCTGTGTACTAGATCTAGATCCATCTTCTAAGTAAATCTTTAACTTTTATTATTATATTTTTTAGAAAATCGAGTGAATAATGGGTGACCAAATAGGTAAAAATTATTTGTTATTATACATTTTGGCTAAAGGCAACTATTATTGTAAACAATTGTTTTATGATACTATTTGTAATAATATATAAATTTATATAAAAAGTTATGTTATGAAGTAGTTAAATATGACTACAAAATGTATGACTAATCATCATCTTCCTACCCTTATCCCAATTATTATTTGGGGTAATATGTTTTTATCAATATTACAAAAAGATTTGGCTTATAGTTTTACGACCGGTCGCCTGCCTGACGTCACCCTATTTGGGAAATGACATGTATGACTAATACATGTTGCACAATATTGATGAAATGTTCTAATTTTAATATTATTTTTTTCCAGAGATTACAACTTACCCTGAAGAAAACAGTATGTTTTACAGAGTTCCTTTCTGTGGTCTTAAGGTTGATATAAAGGCTGATTCTGGAAATGCTGCCATCGGATTGGCAAAGAATATTGATGAAAACTGCGAATATTGGGTAAACAAAATATGATTACTGCCTATTCTATTTTGATTCTAGGTATTTGAACATCAATTAAAAGTTTTTATATTTAGTTTAATTCAAAGTTTTACAGCATTATATATATTGACATTTTCTAAAGGATTTCTTAAGAAAAAGAATGCTGCCAATATAAAGCTTTTGTAACATTACTGAAAATAGTGTAACACTAATATTTTTAAGGTACAGACTTTACCAATCTGTGTCTGTATTAGAGTCATTATATACTTAAAAAAGAAAAAACAAACATTACCATGATCATTAAATTTAATAGAATTTTTGTAATTTAAATCATAGTTTCATGTTAATAAGTTGTTAGGTGTAATACTTAGTGCATTTCATTATAATGACATTTATTCTATTCAAAATAAAAAAAAAACTATAAATATATATGTAGTTAAAAATAAAGAATGATCATTCATATTCATCATCACATTTGAACAATCATGAAAAATTTAAAACACTCTTAATAATTAAAAATGTTAATTACATAACTACAAAAGAAATTTGAATTTATTATGTTCATAAGTTTTTGTTCTAGCAGTACTTATATATCAATATTAGTAAACAATGTACTTTATAGTGTTTACTCCTATGTAGCTGTCAATATTTACAGAGTTTAGGGTGTAAATGTCAAAAGTGCTATCATAGTCTCTATGAAACAGATATTATAATTTTTCTAGTAACATTGTTAATTACAGATTATAATAGGATACAATCTTAATCACACCTCAATAAGACAGGCTGATGGGGCCCCAGGGCAAACTGTTGAAACACCCAATATCTTAAGTGCAGATGAATATAGAAGTTTCTGGCTCTCATGGCATGGTTCGTCTATAAAATTTGGTAGAGATGGTGAAAATAAACCTATAGTTACCTTGCCAGGTACAGAATTAAAGAAGTTAAAATATGTAATGTTTGCTGGGAAGGGAAGAACTGATTTTTTTAATGTTGTCCATTGGAGATTTGAATGTAAGTTGTTTTATATTAAAACTTAGAAATTCATAGTTTTTTTTTAATGGGTGATAATGGAATGGCAACTCTGCCTACCCTAATGGTATATGCTGGTGGTGCACCAGTGAAAGATGATAAGTGAGAATGAAAGAGTAGATCAGTCAGACTATCATGCTAAATACACCTGTGATTTAGCATGATGGTTTCCAAGGGGAGCACCTGGAGGTCAACCTAATAGGGTATATTGTTAGCAATGGGACTGGTAATCTGCATTACTAAAAATCCCTTCCCCCCTGGAAATTCATAGTAGTTACCTGGCTAATATAACAATTTTTTTTAACTTAATTATTTATATTTATCCTATATCCCACTCTTGTTTCCACCACTTAACAGCTGCGCTTGCATGATTATAGTAAAATTACAGAGAACAGAGGTGCCTTATATCTCAGGAATAGCAATGCATGTGGAGTAATATAGGCATCATAAGGTATTTTGTTATGTTCATGGTGTTTTTAATGTCTGTAAGCAACTGATTAAAAGTACCTTGTAATCAAATGTTATTTATAAAGTGAATACACTAGGCATCCACACAATTTTATAAACATGTTGTAAGAAACGTTTGTACATTTGTTTTCCACTCATATTTCTGTATGTATTATGTGTTGTGATGGGATGTGTTCAATAAAATTTAAATAATAATAGGATTAAACTTGTAACATTATTTTGCAAAGTATTTACTTTATTAAAGAATTAAAAAATATTATATAATGAACTGTTGTTGTTAATCATATTTATATATTATATAAAAATAAATAATAATTAAAGGTATTTTATTAAGTATAATAAACCTTATTTGTAATAGCAGAAACAAGAGTAATACAAACAGGTTTATATTTTCTTTTTTGAATGTGTTTTACTCACTTTTTTGGAGTTATAAGCATAAAACTAACTTCATTATGTTATAGTACCACCACTGATAAAAGAACCAGAAGTACTGCCAGTGACTGGTGGTCATGTTCAATGGGTGCAAGCTGATAATCAGTTGCCTGATGGTGCAGTAATTGGAGGTTATGAGAATGACGCCCTGTATATCATAAGGTCCAAACACAACGGGTCATTGACACCTGGCAAATTTGTGTCATCTGAAGGAGTGGGTTATATATCATGGGGTGGCCAAGAGCACGAGAAACAGGAATTTGAGGTAAAAAAAAAAACTACTTAGTTATTATTTATGAATAGTATCATCATTAATCAGCCGTTAACTGTCCGCGGCTGAACATAGACCTCGCCCTATTAGGAAATTTTATCAGTAGTTGCCACACTTGGCTAACAAGTTGACTACCGCAGTTAGGTTTTTTTTATACAACTTAGAATGGCAAACAAGCTGACGGCCCACCTGATGGAAAGTGGTAACCGTCGCCTATAGACATGAGCAGTACCATGGAAATAACAGAGTATACTGTTTTGCCCATGATACCCTCCATGCGTTGCCATTCCTGAGGACTCAGGTGTTATTCCTCTGTACCCAGTAAATTCACGCCATATCCCACTCTTCAAACCGAAACACAGCCATGCAAACACAACTGCTTCACGGTTGAAACACGAATGGGACAGAGGTACCCAAGCAATCGGCTTTTCTACAAAGTCTCTCTCTGGTGATGTTTTAAAAAAACACACTACTACCTATCCCTCGACCTTGAGTTGCTCCTTACGACACCCATGGAAAAGGAATAAGTGATCCATTCTATGCCGGGATCACACAGCATAGAATGTAAATAACATAAAATCAAACGAATAGTATATAATAAATGATGTGAGGCAATATATGTTATATATGCGTTTATAGTACGTACGTATATAAGTACTTAATAAGAAGGTTACAGTGTGCCTCATCGTAATAACTGGTGACCCAAGAGATGTTAGTAGGTATGGATAGATACATATACTATATTGCGAAAAGAAATAAATATTGCTATCGAAAGAGGTAATGCTGCCAGTATTTTAGGTATGCTACTTCGATGTAATACATAGAAAGACTTCCTTATGACCTGTTAAGGGATGTTTGTGTTTTTATTGTTAAATAACTAATGTAATTCTAAGTTTATTTTTTATCATATACTGATCTTATATATTTCTATTTTACCAGGTTTTAGTTGGATATGATTGCGTATGGGTACCAACGTGTAAATCTAAAATCCCAGTATCTGCAGTCGAAGGGGGCTATTCTGAGGATGGCAGAAAAAAACTCTTCATAGGACGTGCTTACCAAAATGGACACCTTATCCCTGGAAAGGTCCAGCCCTCTCACTCTGTCTGTTACATACCATACGATGGTAGAGAAATAGCCCATGAAAACTATGAAATATTGGTCTGTCCTAACATAAATGCGCGATGTGCCAACCATACATATAATGATAACATGGAAAATGATGACAACGACGTATATGAGGATTTTTTGGATGAGGACGATGTCTAGATAATGTAGTATAAACAATATAAATTTATTAATTTAGTTTAAACTATAATACTAAATTAATAAATTATTTATAAAGACTATTATAAGCGTATTTAGAAGGAGGCCGAGTGAGTCGTGCTCATCCTAGAACTGTCTAGTGCCCAGCGCAGTATAAGGAGCAGGAACTTTCATTTATAGACATGACTGGGAATATTGTGCTCTTTTTAAGGAGCAGTACAATAATATTACATACGCAGATAATGGTTATTTTTAAAACGTCAGAGAAGAGAGACGCTTGTATATTATACCTATATGTAAAAATCGAGAAATTCCTAAATCTATTATGTTTGTATTTCATGTTAATTTTATACACATGTTTTGCAATTTTTGGTAATATATTCTCTTTCACAAAGTTTATTCCTGTAATTTAAAATAAGATTTTCTGTGATATATGTATGTAGAATTTATAGTTTAAAAAGTATTTATTTATTTACACAATAAATAAGATGCCAAGTTAATTCTATTTATTTACGTGATGATTTTTTAGCTATTGCTACCTAAGAACGAGGAATTACACCGAAATCTTTGATTTATACCGTATTCTTTGTATCGCAGATAATTATCCTTAATCTATGTCAGTATGCTATAGGGTCGATTCTGAATTGCTATTTTCTAAACAAATCTTTAAAATTTAAATTTCAATTGAAAATTACATTTTCAAACTATTTTCAAATTACACATTGAAAATTATATAAAAAACTTTAAGGACCAATATTAATTAAATTTCTAATAGATTGAAATAAAAATATAATAAATTTAGTTTACGATGTTAAATAAAATAATACCTTCGCGAAACTATCAAATTAAAACGTTAGTTTTAGAAATAATTTATTTAAAAAAATAGTGATGCATCTAAATTAACCCGACAGCATATAATCCATGTGTATTTACTTCAATCAATAATATTGTTTTTTTTTTTATTAATATTGTATATTGATAGGTAATTGCAACGTTGTCACATTTTGGTAAGCAAAAGTATGAACGCTCTTAAGCCATTGACAAGAAGAATAACGACTTGAATAAAACATCGTTCAATTTTTCAAATATCGAAGAAAAAACGTTCTGTCATACTTGAAATGCAATCAATGATCTCCATTAACTACGCATGTATTTAAGCAAATAATATAGGACTGTTTCTAGGGTTGGTTTATTTAATATAAAAAAGTCAAGATGGCTAATTCAGTGGAACCTTCTGGAACAGCGTCTGAATTTGCCCCTAGCGAAATGGCGGTTTCTGAGCCCGAAGAAGGTACACTTTATACATTTAAGTATATTTGTTTAATTGCAATCATATTCTACTAGTTGTTTTGATATATTACCACGGAGACTGAATATTAACACTAAACGAACCGCTACTACTGTTCGAAATAGGTAATCGTAATGTCTATATGTGTAATTATAAAAATATGTACCTACATAACCACTCCGATCGTTCTGACCTCAAGTTAGAATACCCTTTTTTATAAGAAACCAGGCTACGAATATTTGGGGACACGAACCAAAACACCCCTATCCAGACTAATTAAAAAAATCATTTCCAAAAATTAACCTGATCGAAAATCGAATCCAGGACCTCATTATGCAAAACTGTGCTTACTGCCACGGAAATCGTCTATTAGGAGAATATACACATGATCATTTCGTAACTATTAAGTGCAAATGGGTGTTTGCTTTCAATAAACTTTTATACCCCACCGACTCAGAAGTAGCTTGGTACTTTCTTCCTTCAAAACCGAGGGGAAATTAATTACATTTAATTAATTTCCCCTCGGTTTTGAAGGAAGATCATGTAATATGTAATGAATGATGAAAGACTTTATTAAGTTCTTTCACATGAAATCAACTGTATAAGAAAACCACCTAAATCATTCAGATCTTATGAAACGTCTCGTGATCCATGTGGTCCCGGCATAGAATAGGCCACCCCTTCCTTTCCCATAAGTGTCGTAAGAGGCAACTAAGGGATGGGCAGCAGCGTCCCTCCTAAATCATCCCTAAAAGGCCAATTGTGGTTGCTACCCCGCCAGTCAAGCGTGGCAACTACTTGCAAAACTCTCCTTATGGGGAAGACTCCTATTCAGCAGTAAACAGTTAACGGCTAATATGATGATATGTCTCGTGCGGGCATAAATAAACTACACAGTACAGCTGCTATTGCAACAGCTAGTCCAGCTCTGCGGACATCGTTCCCGCCGTATCCTCCCTACGCAACAGAACCAGCGCCGTCGTCGATTGCCGACACTATTGTCGCCGGCCGGGACCTCAGGATGCAGCACAAATCCACACTACAGAGGCCTATTCGACCATCACCGAAGCCGGCCCGTCCCAGGTCATTTGACTTTTCTTCAAAAAATTTTACCAAATTGTTTAAATACGTATTTCCGCCTCATAGAGTTTCTTTTAACAAATCAATATCATGTATCAATGTCAAAAAATATTTAGGAATCTCAATTTTTGTAATAGTACTTTTTAACCTACTTCAAAATGTGGAGGTTCTCAATTCACAACAAAATTTTAGTGTGCCTATTTTATTCGATGTCTTTGCCAGTTCGGAACCAAGTTCATACCTTAGAACCAGTATGGTCGCGCACAGTACGATTTCAGAGGAGCTTCCTGCTGCGAACACTTAGGTTGTGGAATGATTTTTCTGCCGAGACTCTCTGCTAGAGACTACAGCGTGGGGTTCTTAAATAAGGACGTATTAAGACTTTTTAAAGTAATGCGCGCGTGACATCCCTGGTTTTACAGGCGTCCCTAGGTTACAGTAAGCCCATTTACTATTGAAAGGGCCGTATGATTATTTGCGACGATAGTACATTTGTAATAACTACTAGATATCTACTGTATCCCCTGGAAGGGAATGTAGATAATTTGGTAGCACCCTATAGGAGTAATCTATATAGCTTACTCCTATACTAAACCCATAATAACTTGACTGAAGTCTATTTTTTTTACTGTAGTAATGGTACCGCGATTGAACACGATCTCACCAGATGGAAAGTAATGATATGCCCTAAGATGGGGCTCACAGGCTCACGTTTTTTTCAAACCATTATTAGATTGTTAACAAACTTCAGAAAAGGCTTGGCTTTAATTCAGATCAAACTAATTTTAAATAAATTAGCGCCTGAAGCTTATGTCAAGTTATAAAAAAATAATTCAATTTCAGTTATCATAATCGTATTTCCATCAAACTGAAAATATTTCCAGAGGCCCAAAAGCCACAGACGTGAAATTGTCGAGACGAGCGACGCGGGCTCACATGCGTTGCTTACGGCGGCACGGCGCCGTGCTCTCAGACCGTCTGGAACATATATCGAAGCCCAGACGAAGAGCTATTATATACCTTTGGCGGGAATACGCACATACATTGCCACCAGAAACGGTTTGTTATCAAACATTATACGAGGTAAATTTTGCCTTGCCATTTTTTTTATGGACTAAATAAAAATATTCGATATTCATAAACGTAATTGCATAGCGTTGGGAATAGTACAAATCTGCTGTGTTGGTAGAACGCCACAAGGATCTGTCCTAAGCCCTAATGTTTATTGTTTTACAGATTGCTCGTTTACGATCAATGTTGGATGCAGATGAGCCCTTCAAACCGGATCAAGCCTATGAGTACTTCGTTAATTTACGCAAGACAAAAAAGAAAAGTAACACGTAATTTATTTTTGATATTTTTTTGAATTTTGTTATTATTTCTAAAGAAAATTTGTGTAGTCTCTTTCTGCGTAAATGCAGTGTTCGTATAACCATAATTTACTTAATCATTATTCCTATCAAATATATGGTGTACTCGTGATATAAGTCATTCGTCATTGGTGATATGATGGAATTATTGGGACACATTACAAGTAAACTCTTATTTGTACTTTTTTTTTTCTTAAATTGAAGGACACGAGTCAACCAAATAAAGAAGAACGTTTTAGCTGTATGCACTGACAAGAGATTCGTGTGGGCACGGAACGCAACTATAGCCTTCGCCAAAGGCATCCAACAAAGACTATCACGGTCTGGTCACTACGCTCTCGCTGACAGGTTAATTTAAATTATTTTAAAAATCGCAGGCTGAAGAACAAAGACCAACCATTCGCATAGTCAGGGAGATAGAATCCAATATTCTTTTTCAGTCTCAGAATGTCGTAAAAGGTGATTACAGAAATAAAACACCCAAAACCCAAGAGAAAGAAACTTCGAGGTGAAATCCTATATAAGCTTTACCAGACTGTAATAGCAGGCTACTAGGCAGACCATTCCTAACATTGGAATATTAATAAGCTAGTCAAAGAACAAGAATCTCCTGTAAGTTAAAACCCTCAATTGTTTATGAAAACGACTGACAAATGAAACAACACCTTTGTTCACTAGAAGACAAGAATGCTTGAACAAGTGTATGTATAATTGCTTAAGGACTATGGGTAGTAATGTTTATTTATACTTGGAACCTAGACTGAATATGTGTATTTTATGATATTCACGGTGTGCGTTTATAAACGACGATTATAACTTATTATCCAGTGTAGATTTAGTTAACATAAAAATTATAACCAAAGCTTTTTCTCCTTGTAGTTGCTTTGTCACAACCTAAGTTCTTATTCAGATAGGTCTTTAGGTCAACTGTACTAAAATTTTATGTATTTTAAACAGAATGTTAAGGTTATCCAACATTATCTTGGATGAGATTTGCAACCACGTTATGCATATGAAGACACCGTCCAGGCGTTGCATTCATCCTAAATCGCGCTTCATGATGGAAATGTCGGATAAGGTATCATGTGTTACTGCAATCACATTGTTTATATAATTATGTCTACATTTAACAACTTTTTAACATAAATTCAAAATGCAAGTATATATCATTTATATCAATTATAATTAATGTCTGTATTTACACTGATTGATTGATTTAATTAATGATTTAATAAAACAATGACTATTTAAAAATGCTTAAATCTAAGTTTACTTGAATAAGAGTATTTCTTGCTTTTTTTCTTTTCTTTCTACTGTTGTATATACTTTTTAAAATAATAAATAAACTTAATACCCAGATTGCTGTGTGGATCGATGAGATAATAGCGGAATCAGATGACCGTATGTTGATGATGGACTTCGATGAAGATGATGGTAAGAATAAACTTTTTTTTTTAATACAATAGTAGAATAATCGCTATTAAGAACACAAGATAGCAATGAAAAGGTAAGGACTCGATTTGAAATTGTGACCATTGTTCATGTTGTATAAATACCACTATTTTAGTATTTAGATATTGAACGGTGTGGACTGCCGTTCGGTGAGCGTGGACTGTAGGGGCGTTGGTTCAGGCTGGAGTGAAACACAGGGATTACTATTCTGAAGCCTCCGGTACCGTCTGAAGAGAGTATTTTTTCTTCTTGTCCTATTTCTTCTCGAGTGTAGTGCGTCGCTGCCCGGAAGCGAATGCCGCTCGACGGGAGGCGGCCTATCTTTATACCCGCCCGCTCGCACGATAACGTTTCCAACTCGCGATAGCGATCTGTGCGAGCGGGACGGGGCGAAAATGAACGAGACGCGTGTCTCTTCAGATCGGTACTCTATAGCGTCTATTTATTTATTTTATTTCAATTTACAATTTCTTAATTCTATTTATTGTTACAATTTCTATTCGTAGGTAATAATGACAACACGCAAAGGAATACTTTATTTAACTTACACTATCTTAAATCTATGTAAATCTATATAAAATAACAGAATACAAAACGATTAACTAGGACTTAACAACTATAAATTACGATATATACAAATAATGTCGCGAACATAATCTCCCGCCGCAGCTCTCGTAGCTGGAGTTAACTCGTGTTCGCGTTGCTCGATGTCGATGTGGGCAGTATGATCAGCTTCTTAGTGGGTCGCCGTAGGATGCCCTTGTTCGTCCGCACGTCGACTGCTCGGATCTCGCCGTCTGGTCCAGGGTAGGTCGCCACCACCACGCCTCGCGGCCACGTGTTGCGAGGCAAGGTCCCATCAGCTATCAGGACCAGGTCGTCCATTTTGATGGCTCCGTGTGTAGCTCGGGGCTCCCGCCGGTGTTGCAACTCGGGTAGGTACTCCTTCACCCACCGGTTCAAGAAGCAGTCAGCTAGCCTCTGGCTGGCACGCCACTCCTTGTGTCCCGCCGCGTCGCTCTCTGTGAAGCTGCCTGGCAGTGGGACGCGCGATGGACCGCCCAATATGAAGTGATTGGGGGTTAGGGCGCATCGTCGTCTGCCGATGTTGACACGTGGGTTAGCGGTCGACTATTGAGGGTGTGCTCGACCTCGACCAGCAGAGTGTGGAGGACCTCTTCCTTGGGGGCCCGCTCGTTCAACGTGGTGGCTAGTGCGGTCTTCACGCTACGCACCAACCGTTCCCACGCACCTCCCATGAAGGGTGCGCTCGGGGGAATGTAGCGCCACCGGATGAAATGGACTGATGACTCTTCTTGGATGGCTTCCTCGGCTGCTTTCTTCAGTTCGACGTCAGCACCTTTGAGGTTGGTGCCTTGGTCGGACCATAGCTCAGTGGGACACCCTCTGCGGCTTATGAAGCGCCGCAGGGCCATTATGGCGGAGTCCGTGCTGAGGCTGCCGGCGATTTCTAGGTGGACTGCGCGCGTCGTTAGGCAGGTGAAGAGCACTCCGTACCGTTTCTGGTGAGTGCGGCCCACTGTCACGGTCATAGGCCCGAAGTAGTCTAGGCCGGTGAACGTGAACGGTCGTTGATGATGCGCCAGCCTGCTCTGTGGATGGTTGCCCGTTGACGGCTGCGCCGGTCTTGCTCTTCGTAGGCGGCACAGCTGACACCTCTTCAGTTCACTGCGGACGGTGTGTCGTAGGCGCAACACCCACAAGTGTTGTCGCACCTCGTTCGTGGTGATCTCGAAGCCGCCGTGGTGAAGTTTCCGATGCACCCATGCGATGTATAGGCGCACCCAGGTGTGGTTTCCGTCGACGATGGGGGGCTCTCGTTGCTCGGCTGACAAATCGGCGGCGGCTGCTATTCTCGAAGTCGCAGAATGTCGTCGTTGTCTATGACGACCGACAGCTGTATGAGTCGACTGGATGACGGCAGCTGTTTCCCTTGTTTCAATACTGCGATTTCGTCGCCGAACGCCTCTTGTTGTATCGCGCGAATCCATAGCCGTCGCGCGCGATCTAGGTAGTGTGTGTCTATGGGGATGAAACACACAGATGGACTATTGCTGTTCTTGATTTTCATCTTCGTCTTCTCTCTATCGACTTTCTTCGTGCGGGTCCAAGTGGGGTCGGCGCTCTCTTTCTTCTTGTTTCTCTTTCGGATGGCGGTGCAGCGTTGACTGGTCGGTCGCAGGAGGTCGATGAACTGCAACACCCGTGCTGAACTGCGAACAAGTTTCAACCAATTAGAAAAACGTGACGGATCGGGTAATGCTATAGACAACTGCGTCGCGTTCTGTAGCTTGTGTACGCGTTCTTCTCCCGTTTCCGCTTGACTATCGTCGCTCGTACTATCTTCACGCGGCCACTGTTCTTCATTTTTGTCGAAATTCCTTTCGACCGGTTGGAGACGTCGCATTGCCGATTCATAGTTGTACGGCGGCACAGGGTCGTCCTTCTTCCATAATAACCCCGTCTCGTATCCTTCCGCCGGTAACGGACGAGTTTTCTCTTCTAAAATGCGTAGGGCGCGACGTTCCTCTTCGTTGTAAGACCTCTTCGGTGCGATTCCCAGCGATTCGAGCGCGAAATGTTGCTTCATCATTTCTTCCATCGATTGTTCCTCTTCGTGTGTCGTCACTATGTGGCTGATTCTGTGCACCTGCTGTCTTGTCCTGCCGCGACTCGTACCGTGCAGTACCCATCCCAGGTCGGTGAGTGATGCGACCGGCTGCGTGTCGGATCCTCTTCTAACTTCGTGGGCCAGCAGTAGGTGCCAGTTGTCTTGCCCCAACAGTACCGTCGGTTTGCCCTCTTCATAGACCAATTCCCTCTCTATGTCCCGCAGATGTGGACAGCCCTTGATGACGCTGCGCGGTACCGACTGCGGTGATAACTGCAGTCTGTCCATCGTCCGTGCCCCCACTGTGTATTCTTGTGAATTCCGCCCGCGGATCTTGAAGTGAACACGCGTCGATTGAGCTGCGTTGATCCGTGCCCCGGCCACACCTTCCATGTAGAATGGTGCGGGGGGACCCGTAGCACCGATTCGCTCCGCCACCGTCGTCTCGATGATGGTGCAAGTCGACCCGTCGTCCAGTAGCGCGTAGGTGTCGCACGTTCCCGTGGGACCGGTGACTCGTATCGGCAGGATCTTCAGGAACGCGATCTTGTCGTTTTCCCTTGCCGATGCGGTGACTGCGGCGGACTTGTCCTCGACGACGTGTGTTGTTACTTCATTCTCCGGCTGTTGTCGCGTGGTGTGCAGCAGAGGGTGATGAGTCTGCGTGCACTCATCTACTCCACATCTCTTGCTCTTGCAGGCGTGGCGAAATCTTCTTACTTTGAGGCAGCGGAAACACAGCCTATGAGTCTTTGCTAGCTCCCACCTCGCCGATGTGTCCGCTTCCTTCATCGTCTTGCAGTCCGATGGAGCGTGTCCCTCTCGTCGACACATCGGGCACGGTGGTGTAGCGGGTTTCTCCTGCGTCGTGTATGTCTTCGCCGTCTTCCTAGGAGCGGACTCCCGCCGGTCTTCGGACGGTATCTCCTCGGCGGGGGCGAAGTTTCCACATCGTGCGGCGGTCCTTTGCAGGAACTGAGAGAGTGTTATGAGGTCCGGTTGTCCCTCCGGTTGGTCGTTGGCGAAATCGTAGTACTTGAAGCGTAGTACCGACGGCATCTTCTCTGTGACGTTTCTCACTATTTCTTCGTTGTAGAGGTAGTGACTCTTGTTCAGCGCTCGTATCGTGGCGACGACGTTCTGCACCTTGCTTGCGAAGAGGCAGACGTCTCTTGCGTTGTCCGAGAGTCGTGGTAGCGCGCGGAGTTTGTTCAGTTCGGCTGTGACGAGTGCTCCAGGGCGGCCGAACCTCGCGGCTAACATCTTCATCACTTCTTCTGCGGTCGTAGACCCGACGAATAGGGAGCGTGCCGCGTCCTTTGCGGCCCCCTTCAAGCTTCTGCGCAGTCTTGCTAGGTTCTCTTGTTCTGTGAGTTGACTTGCGCTCTCTTCATAGGCCATCTTCCATGGTAACCACTCGCTCGACGATCCATTGAAGACTGGCAACTCGGTGACTCTTGACGCTGTGGAGGGCAGTATGTTGCGAGCGGCCATCTGCATGGCGATCGCAAACTCATTACAATCGATGCCCACCTTCAGCACCGGTTCTTCCTTCTTCATCGACTGCATCGCTGCTGCTATCGTAGGCATGGCGGCATGTGGGTCAACGTGGCGTGCGTGGTCCCGGTGAAGTGCGTCGCTGCTCGGCTGTGGCGGCGGCGCTCTCGAATCCTCTTCAACGGGTCTCGATGGGACGAACCCCTGACGCTTGCCGGTGACTTCTTCTATCTCTGGTACATGCGGCTCCATTGTGAGTGCCAGCGTGCTTCGACGAACCCAATCCGACGTTCGTTCTCTTCTGACGGTAGCGTCGTCGTCTTCTACTTCCTCGTCGTCCTCTGATTCGGCTTCCAGGGCGGCGACACGTGCAGCAGCCAATTCCACCTCCTTTCGAAGTAGCTCCTCCCGTGCCTTGGCCAGAGCCTTCTTCTTCTGCGAGGCCGTGGTGCGAACCGTGCGTGCCGTGCCGTGCTTCGGTTCCTTCTTCCTTGCTGTCTCCTCTGTCGTTCCTGTGGCTTCGGTAGTCTCCGTGGCTCCTGTGGTCGTCGTATCGCCGGACGTGTTCGTAGTCGATGTGGTGGCGGCGGTAGACGACGTGGCAGCGACAGAAGGCATTCTGACAGCCGCAGACGACGTGGTGGCAGCAACGGACGGCGTGGCAGCGACGGACAGCGTTCCGGCGGCCGTAGTCGACGTGGTGGCGGCGGACGTTGTGGCTTCGGTGACGGCGATTTTTTGTTGCGACGACTTCATGTTTCTCGTAGTCGGCATTTCAGCGATCCGGCTTCAGAATGGTCTTCCTCCAGCGATCCGGCTTCTCGATGTACCAACGGTGTTCCTCCAGCAATCC